TACAACTGCCTGAAATGAGGCTGTAGCCAGCTGAGGTCTCTTCTCCCAGACAACAGTGACAGGACAAGAGAACACCATCTTAAGCTGCACCGGGGAAGGTTTAGGCTGGTCATTAGGAAGAAGTTTCTCACAGAAAGGGCGACTGGACATTGTAATGGACTGCCCAGGGAGGTGTGAAGTCACCATCCCATCAGGGAGGTGTTGAAGGAAACACTGGATGTTGCACTCAGTGTCACAGTCTAGTTGACAAGGTGGTGTTCAGTCATAGGTGGACTTGATGATCTCAAAAGACTTTTCCAACTCAATTGATTCTGTGATTCTGTGAATAATTGTTGGGGTAGTGCAAGAGTAGAGCAAAAGTGAACATGTGGCAACTTGTCTTCCTCCAGACCCTAGATAAAACATCTGCACAAAGGCAAACTACCTTGTCATTACACAGGATTTCCTTTTTTGCAAGGAGAAAAAAGTGGTTTTTCTCCCTTTTTTCTTGTTTTCCCTTTGCCAAGGGGCAAATCCTGATTCTGAGGCCAAGACAACTCCTTCTACATTGAACATGTATTTTGGCAGCATAGGGCAGGACAACAGACTTTGAGGGTATGTCTCTGTACAGAGCAGTGTACCAGGAATGGCTAAGAATGGGAACCAGCCCAATGACCAGCTGCTCGTGTGCTCTCTTCCTTCTGCAGAGTACTGAGTGACACCAAGAGCAGGATGCTCTGCTTGCTTATCCCCCAGCCCCCCTCCCTGAAGATGAATCAGTATCAAAGTCTTGCTTCATATCTCATATGAAGTCAGGTGTCTGCTGCGCCTGGATATCCTTTACTTCTAGGCAGCATTTTCAGGAGCAAGTTGACTTTATCATAGCCACAGATCCATCAACTTTATTGACCTCTGACGTCATCCCTCACTGTGTTGCCAGGTGAAATCACAATTGAGCAAGTGTTGTTCCTGTTATCATGCTTATTGCCTATTCAGGTATTATATATAATCTTATGTTTTGTAGTACTACAGATGGAAGGGCTTACTTATGGCACCATAAAAGGGAGCAATCAAGTCTTTAAAATTATGACCTTATTAGTATCCATATTAAAAACATGAAATTGCATATTGGTGCACATGATGTGTTTTGTTTACATCAGATGTAAGAATTAAGATACCTTTTCTGTCCATATTAAGATACAATTAGCACCAGCTGTAAGGTCTAGCTGGGAAGTAACCCCTCTCAGGATCTGGAATCCATTGGTTACTACAGGAAATGACACAGTAATTTAAACATGCTTCTACATAGAAGTCTCTAATTCCACCTTGTGTCAACTGGGTAAATAATTATTATATTTATAAACTTTCTTTTGTAGCTATCTTTTCATGCATATAGACAGTAGCCCTTCTTAGAAGCCTGCTGAGGTCTTAGCTTCCAAGATATTTTCTGCAAAGAAAATAATCCCTACATGTTAAGAATTGTCTAAATATGTACTGTAATAAGAACACTGCAATGAGCTTGAAGTGTTCTGTCTGATATGCGATAGAACCTTGTTTTGAAGTTTTAAGGCAAAATGTGGCACATTCAATTTTAACCTTGGTTAAAAAGTCATAATTTTTTGATTTGTCATGATGATGTATTAGGAATCAAAGGAATCACTTGTTTTCTTAATGGTATGGAAATAAAATGTACAGTTTGTTTTTAAAAATGGAATCACTTTAAGATATTATTCCTAGGAAATACATTTTTGGTATTTCCTCCCCTTTTTCTCTTAGACTAGCAATGCGACCTATTTAAGCAAGGCATATTATATTTTTTTCATAAATATTTCTTTCAAACACCTTTTTTTTTTCAAGTCTCCATGTTTTGTTGGAATATGTAGGATAACAGGCCACTTATGGTATGCCCAGTTAATCCTGAATTTGCATCTCACTGCTTGTGGACTTCATTCACTCTCACTTTGATTCATACTTTGGAAAGTCCAAATCAATGCTGTTGTTCATAAAGACCTTTAAGGCTTGCTGACAATAAAAAATTTTACATTTCCTTAATTCTTTAATTAATTATTTCATTCCACATATGCATATTGCACCAGTTGCACAATAATTCATGGCTGTTCATTTCAGATAAACCACTGAATCCCAATAAACCACATTTTGATTATAATGCAACAATTACTGCCCTTAACAGGTGATTTATGTTTCTACAGAACGATCCTAAATCTGTCTGGATAGACTATAGGATTAATGAGAATAATGGTGGTGAATTACTCCTCAGTCAGTGCTCATTAATTTAGCTGATTGCTGCACAGTTTCCAGCAGAAAGGACACTTCAGCTATTTTTGCTTTTTCCATACAATTTTTCTCTGGGTGAAGCCTTCATCAAATTTATCCCTTGAAGTAGAAATTTATGCCCTGGTTAGAATTTTACCTCCAGCTTCAGCGATCCCCACCTACTCCTCTGCTACTAGAGCTGGCTTTGAACTCTCTTCCCTCTAAGAATGGCTGAATGAACTCCCTTTGTACCAAATCACTAGTCAAATCCCATAGCAATGATTTGTTCAGATATCTAACTATGGCAAACAAAAATTTTCCTCGGTTTTCTTAAAATGTTTTTAACAATGCACGCACTTCATAATTTCAATGTTAACTCCTTGTCACAGATAAAGAGAACAGCAAGAGATCCTGTACCCTGTCTACCATATTTTCCTAGCTTTTTCTGTCTAAAAGGAACTGGCCTGGCTATATTTTATATTCTTTTGTCAATAATAGGCTTTTAAAAGTTGATCTTTTTTCTGACTACCTTTCTCTAACCACATTTCTATTCTCTTTTGATAAACTGGGATAGGAAACATGTTTTATTTGATGTCTGGATACAGTCAATCTCAAGGCAAGCATGCAAGTGTGGTTATATTTCCATATGTTCATCATTATCTTCTTATACACATTACCTGAATGATCTCTTGCTGGAAATCATTGTTTTGGTAGAAATAAAATAGTCTACAGGTACAACCAAATTCCTTTAGAACTCGCATTTTCTGAATTAGCATCCTATGAACTTTCTATCCATACTATAAAAAACATATGCATCAAATGTGTAATCTCTGAAGAAGAGAATCCTGTCCGTGATGGTAGCCAGCACCAGATGTTTCACATAAAGGTGCAAAATCCCCCTACAGTAGGCAGATGTTGGATTATTTCTCTATTAAGGAGGTCTCACACGAAACCCTGATGCTTAAGAGATTGTCTGAAGCCCAAAAGCATGAAGTTTTATTTTCATTCCAGAATTCCACTTTAGTGTCTCACTAAGTTTTACTCTTTGAGAGTGTTTGTTGTGGAGCAGTGGCAGGAATTGAGTTATGTGGGCTCCAGATGTAGGTTCAGTATTGTTTCCCATGCTGGAGTAACATGCCAGAGAAAAATCTGCTCAGAGCAACTGGAATATTAAACTGCTTAGCTGTTAGTCTCTGGCAAACATAAAAGAGTAAATCACAGCTAGAAAATCACATTTCTCAACATTTCAGAAATTAAAGTGATATTCACTGAGACAACAGAGGACATGTTCCTGACTCCAGGCTATACCACTGCTAAACTCCAAATTCTTGCTACAAGACATGGAGATCTCTGTCCTTTTAGAAACAGTTGTACATATTTTTGTAACAGAAAAGTTCTGGCAATTTAAATAGAGTGGTCACTACATCAGGTCCAGATGTAGCATGGGTAAACACCGCTGTGTTTACAGTGGGAACACAAGTTCGTTGTCTCATGAACATATGTGGTGACAACACTATGGGAAGGAACAGGAAATGGATGCTAATGAGGCTGAAGAGCCAAAGTCTCTCTGGGACCAATTGTGAAAGAAAGTTAATGCTCCCCTTCCTGGCTGTCAAGCACTGGAGCAGTCCTACTGCCTCTGTGGCTGCAATGCTGTCTCTCCTGCCTGCGCTGGCACCCCAGGATGATCTGTTCCCCTTTGCTCATGCTTCTCAAAAGACCCACTAAAAGAGAATTATAAAAACTCATACTACCTCCAATCTCTGTTAGTGCTCTCCTTGAACTCAGAATATAACAAATCTGATTTATAAAAATTGAGGCATTGTGTCAAATGATGTTCCTTGACATGGTGCAAAACTCGTAAAAAAATTTAACTGAAATTCTACATGAGCAGAAAAGGAACAAAAAAGCTTTACCAAAAAACCCCAAACAAACAAACCACCAACCCAAAATACCACAAACCAAAACCCAAACCAAAAAACCCAAACACAATAATTTTAAGTCCAAAAGTCTGTTTACCTGTTGACCTTGTGGAAAACTATAGATCTTAAAGAATCTCACTGCACTAGAATCTGCAATACATAAAGGTCAAAGAAAAGTCAGAACTGTAACACTAATGTATTACTGTAGAACTAATGAAATACTTTATGTATTGTTTTTGATTCCTTATCACTCAAATTCCTGGCTATACAGTGATGCACTGTCAGCATTAGGTCTGGCATTTAGGATTCTCTCCTCGTAAATGGGAAGCGTAGGTCCAATACTCTGAAGGCTTCTCAAACTCAGCCAGGAACTTTGTAGCTATTCCTCTGTGCTTGATGTTTCCTACTTGCCAAAATTCAGTGATTACCTTTTCAACATGTGCACGTGCTGCCCTGCCTAGAAAACACCAAAGTTTCCTTTATCACACTGGAAAAGCAAGTCTGTACCTAAACTGGAGCAAATGCTTCCCTGAGGGTGATGTGGACACCTAGATCACTCCATTTACTCCAGCAAAAAATGCAGCTCAGGCAGCTTAAATCTCTCTAAGACGATAAATTAAATTAGGCATTGCCTAATTAGGGTGCCTAAAGTAGGAGGTTTGACTACTGCTGTCCATGTCTATTTTTTTCCTTTGCAGTCTCATGCAGATTGGATCTGTTTGTTGTGAGTTAACCCTGGTACGCAGTTCAGCCCCACACTCACTGACTTCCCCACAGTGGGATGGGGGAGAGAAACAAAAATACAGAGGTGAGAAAACTTGCGAGTTCAGATAAAGACAGTTTAATAGGTAAAGCCAAGCTGTGCATGTATGCAAGGCAAAATAAGGAATCAACTCAGCACTTCCCCTTGGAAGGCAGGTGTTCTTCCATTTGCAGCAAAGCAAGGCTCCATCACATACAGCTGTTCCTCAGGAAGACAAACGCTGTAAACCTGAATGTCACCCTCTTTTTTGCTTCCTCAGCTTTTATTAGTATGTTGATCATTTTGTGGTTGGCTGTCCCAGCTGTGTCCCGACCTCTTGCTCTCCCCCAGTCTACCACTGAGAGAAACAGAGAAGGATTTGACAATGATCAGGAATAAAATAATAAAACATGGGTGTCTTATCAACACTGTTTACATCACAATTCCAAAATACAGCACCATACAAGCTGTGATGAAAACAATTAACTCCATCCCAGCTAAAACTAGCACCCTTTTGTACTAGGACCACACAAACACTTCTAAAAGTCATTATTTGCAATCAGAAAGATGAGAAAATTATGAATTTTCCTAAGAAAATCCTAGTTCTTGTGCTGTCAAGTGATTGTGATGCTTAGAGATATTGTTTTAGAGACAGACTTGGCCGTGTTGGGTTAATGGCTGAACTCAATGATTCTAAAATTCTTTCCAAACCTAAGCAACTTTATGATTCTCTGATAATTCTATGAGCTGACACATAGACCTTAAAACTCCCAGATGTAGTATGTGAAACAAATCTCTTCTCATCCTGGTATACAAACATCTGCTTTGGAGGTGAATTGTATTTTAAATTGGAGAAAGAAATAATCAAGGCTACTAAGGAATGGTTGATGCTGCAAATGGCATTCTGGTTGTGAAAAGAACACTGTTCTGTTTCACAGAATATTGCTTAAGCAACACTGTGAGTCCTAAACATAACAAAAGTAAGATGTATTCTGCATCACAATATGACAGTAGCATTTTAATTTAAAGGTATTGTAGGTTTTTCTGCCCAGATAAAGTTTACAGATAGATTTTTGTTAGAAATGTGGATTCAAAAAAGTGCTTTTTGTTGTAAATGCAAAATGAAATAGTGCACGTCAATTTTTATGTAACTAAATCTTGCATTAGTGATGAAGATAGCAAAACAAGATGTAAAAAATCTGACTTTTTCCAAGTTTTTTTTACTTTATAGTGCTGTTGCTACCATTCTGCTAAAAAGGAAATCCCTGAATGTCAATATCATTCCAGTAATTCCTATGTCAGTCTTTCCTCTAGAGTTACAGTATTCATTTGCCTGGTTCAGTCTTTACTATTGAAGCCAAAAAATACAATTATTTGTCCTACTTATGCATACTACTAAGGAGGATTTTAGATCATAGGACTCAGCTGAAAACTTCAATCTGACTCTGAAGTTAAATACAAACAGAAATGGAGAAAAAAAATGATGCACACATCTACTTGATGATCTCAGATTACTTTGCATTATGGCACATGTGATATCTGTTTTTATCCTACGCTACACACTATTCCAATTTATTTTTCATTATTTAGTGGTATTTTGTCCAAAAGTTTTTTTGTGTTGATAATTTAAAAACTGCTTTTAGTTACTGTGGATATACATTTTAATTGCACAATGTTTAGGCAAAATTATATGAAGCAAGTTGAAAAACACAAAACTGCTATATCAAACATAAGCAAACTATCTTGGCAAGCACATCCTTTATGTGCAAACACAAACTTCCCTTTTTCTCTTGAGCAATAACTCTGCCTTTTTTACTTTTTAGTTGTTAAATTAAGCAAGTTTATACTGCACCAGAAAACTTCGCCATTGGTTGTTTTTTGGGGTTTTTTTTTGTCCTTAGTAATGTTGGTGACAGAAGAAATAGAAAAATTCTAGGGTCAGACTGGTCACTATACTATAATTTAAACTGTTGCTATTGCTCTGGAACAATTTAATGACAAGGCATAGTAATTTGGGACATATTGCAAGTAATTTTAAAAGTTCAGTTTTATGGCAAATGCCTCAAAAAACCCTCAAACACTTTTTCCTGGTATGCTCACAAAATATGTTTTGCATGTTAGCTTAGTAATTAGAATATTAAAATTTTAAAAAAACATGTACATTTAGCTTTTGGATTTGTACCATCCATATACTTTTGTGCTTTACTGGATAATGCCTAATTAATTTTCAATTGATGGACAAGTTTGAAATAGGGAAGTTGCATATGGTTTGTAGAAGATAGTTCATTTGATACTAAAATATATATCTAAAACAAATCAGAAGAATTGCTCCCTAAGAGAACAGAAAAGGTTCAGGTCTTTAACTCTTTTTTTTTTCCTGTTTGGAAAGCACCACTCCCAGAATGCACTGCAGGTACAATTTTCAGGTGATTATTTTTTCCTGTTTTGACTAAACTCTGATAAAAACTCTCTATTTGAGAAGCCATGGACATAGCATAAAAGCTGTTCCAGCATTTCTTTATCCAATAAACATTTCCTAAGAGTAATTTATAGTTTATCCTACATGATGTAAAAGGTCACTTTTTTGAAAAACAAGAAAACCAGCTTCACTGAAAATCAGTACTGTTTTGTTGTCTCTTAATAACATAAAGAGAGGAAGGAAATCAGAGGTCACTGCATATTGCACCTTATAATCCCTATAAAAATCACATCAGCATTTATTGGCAGAGAAGACTAGGTAGAGATGGAGATACTAAGTACATGATGCGAAAAAAAGAGATGGAAACAAAGTCTGTATAACAGTAGGCAAAATACTTGCTCTGAAAAGGAAATATATTCTTAAATATTAGAATAGCACCTTGAAAATCCATTCAGGAATTGGCTCATAGTTTCTCCTCTTACTGTCAAGTGGTAGGTCAGGTCGCTGAGACAAAGAAATCACAGTTCTAAATGATGGAGTCAGACAAGGGACACATTTGGCTCAGCAGCATTTTTGTCAGTTATGAAAATGTCTCAAATGGAAAATGTTATCCATAAATAAGCACTTTCTGCTACAATTCTCTGCTGTCCTTGATATGCCTCATAACAATTTTAGGTAGCTATGCAGGGCTGGTACCTTGGAGACCACCCATAGACCCAAGGGCTGCCAAGTACCATTCCTGCCAGTGTGAAAGTCAGCAACCTTTACAAATGTAAAATAACACAGCTTATGACATGTCCCCATTTTAATGACTCTGTGTATGGGTGTATAACTATGAAACCAGGTCTAAACTCTAAAAGAATTTCCTTATTTTCCTTTTTGATGCTGCATAGTAGCATGAGAATAAAGCTAAAATGTGTCCCTTTTTGTGTTTGCTTGTTTTACATTGTGATCTAGTTGTCATAAACCCTGCCATCTGACCAAATTACTGAAAGAATAGAAAAGAACAAGCTCCAACATCTGGCAAGACATTAACTTGGACTTTCTTCTTGATTGTGTCTGTTTCAAATGCCAGGTGTCTATCACCTGGGCTATAGTTTTATTTTGGCAAAGTAAATCTATTACTAACTCTCTGAAGAATGCCGTCTCTGAATGATGCTGCAGCTAATGGAATACTGATTTACTGCCACAACTGTAAAGGATATTTTTTAACATTGTGTTACACGTCCCATCAATTTAGATCAACCAGACCTACCATATGTGAGAAGTTATCTACATTTTTCTCCAATAAAACTGAAATGATGAAAGCTTTGCTTTCCCTGAGGTATGATCCAGTATTGGTAGCCCCATTGTTGTTTTTTTTTAGCCCTCATCTTTGTCAGGGCTGGAGCATATTATTCCTGCAATGCTTGCCAGAATTCTATGGCTTACTTGTTGTTTGAGACTCACCATATGTGTCTTTGATCCCTGCCTAGTAGGCACTTTGGCTGCATGCCAGTTTGGCACTTATGATTATCATCAGTATGAATAGCTCCCTTGCTTCTGATTCTGTCCTTCTTGCTGTCATCAAATCACTCTTTAAACAACTTTCTTATTTTCTTTCAGATGCTTATAAATGATCAATCTATTTTTACCATGCCTTTCTTGGCCAAGGTTTTGTGTCACACTGCAGGAAATCCAACAGCTTTATGTTTCCACTCCTAATGATCGGACTGCCAACTACCTGTGTAACTGCATGGTAACAATAAGGAGTACAGAAACATCTCTTGTGGTAGTGTTTGGAGTTACTCTGCATATTACACAAATACGCCTGTTTTCCCCATCTGGTTGGCTTGGTGGCATGATTTCTTTGAGAGATTATTTATTTTAGTCAAAAGCATTCCTTTTAATAAACGTTTTAAAACCTTTGACCAGAATGCAGCGTGAGCCAATGACAATGATAAATTCAGAGGAGTATCAGAATGATAAACAGTTTTAAGAGACAAATGGAAAGCCAAAAGCCAGTTGTGCACAATTTCTACTCACTATCCTGATACAGCACTAAACACATCTGAGCCCTTCCATGTGTTCTGGCAAACTGAAGTTGTTCCAAAATGCCGTTGTTGAACAAAAGATACACAGAATTAAAATAAGGAACAGCACAGGGCACATAAAAGTCCAGAGCATGAGAGGCCCACATGATGTTACAGAAAGATTTGCCAGAAGTGGCCATTATTCTTTACCTCACCCTGCAAATCTTACGTTAGTAAGTATACTGGTACTATCACAGGACAAGCGTATCTGCCTTTATGTTAACTCATAAAGCGGGGTGGAGTAAGTTTTGTAGCCTCGGCAAGAAAAGAAGAGTATCAAGATGATTGTGTGCGCCTAAAACACAATCCTCTTGGAGCTTCTTTTGCTCTGTGCTGTCCAATGCAACTCTTGTTTAGCAATAACAATCCGGTTTAGCCTTAGAGGTTTTAACACACAGGGCCTTTTCCAATAGAAAGATTATCACACCCTTCTCCCAAGAAACATGCAAATTTCTCATGAATGTGTTTTATTTATGTGTCCCTTGTTTTTGAAACAACTCCTTGCATTTAGAAGGACCAGTTGAAAAATTCAGCGCAAAATTGGCAAGGGTGAAAAACAAATTCTGATTGCAGGGAGAATAAGAGGTAGAACAGAAAAGAAACAATGAGAAACTTGCAAGAGAACTCAATTTGGGATTACTTCAGAATGTATCTGTTATATTTTCCTTCTCTGCCCAACAACACCGTGAATTCAGGTAAAGATATTCTTTTTCAGAATATGTGGTGGTGCTCTGAGTCTTGAAGCAGGTTTATGGTAGTAAACATCCACACTGGATGTAGGCTGGAAGGGGCCACCGAGGTTTTAAGCCCTACAAAAACAAAACAGTAACAGACATAAAAACAATACCATTAGAAGGATATAATGTGCAGAAAATAGCACTTTGATATATAAGCTGCCTGCAGAGCATTACAATGCAGCTAATGTCAGAGGTATTTGTAAGAAAGATGACTAAAGGCCATAAGAAATTTGACTTTGAAACTGCAGCAACTCAAGAACAGGTGAGGTAGGTAGGAAAGGTACACTTCATTCATAGACAGTCCTAACTTTCTTGTGATTGCTGTTAACCTTTTTCCAGCTGGCTTTGAAATGTACAGAAAAGTGAAAATGAAATTATTGATCTTAATAAAGTGCCTTTCCCTTCACATACACCTCATCATTGATAAATGTTCTCTCACTGTGAGACAAAAAAGAAAGGCATGATTTTTTTGCCAGCTTCTCTATATTTTATCCCTAACTATAGGTAACAAGACCAAAGCAAATACCTAGAGACAGCATTTAAGGAAAGTTTATTGGAATTTTGAACTGTGAAAATAAAAGAATGTTGCATTCACAAATATTTTACTGGAAAAAGGCAGAAAATATACTAACTGCATCAGATAGTTGTCCGTAAAAAAACTTCCTGGCGCTTTTCAGTGGCCAGATTTGAAATTGCAGAGATGACTACCAATAATATTTTTAAACTTTTACACTGGATTTTAAATATCTTATTTCTGAAAAACCATGATTATCCTTGAAGAACAAGAGCTTCCCAGCCAATCAATCAGCATCCAGTTTTGGTTTACAATGGCTATGAAAATACAATTTTTAGATGCACAGAACAACAAGGATGAAATGCAAAACTGCAAAAGAAAGATGGGGCTTTGACAGCATCATATCTATCCGTGAATAACTGAAACAGAGACTTGGTGGTAAACCTGATAATCTTTTGCAGAAAATGATTGATGGAAAGGCTAATAAATTTAACAAAACATCCCTGATACCCCAGAAAATGAATGATCCAGAAACAATTTTTGCTTGGGAGGAGTTTGGCAAGTTGGCTGACACAATGAATGTAAGGGAGCAGACAAAATATAACTTGCTGCTGCGGAGAGAGCTGTTGAAACCTGAACAGTACATTTGCAAAGCTCTAAGTTTTTGCTATCTAAACGGAAAGCAGAAATGCCAGTGTGAGCACGAAGCCTCGCGTCACCTGGACGCCCGAGCGAGCACGACCTGATTTATCTTACATCGTTAGCACAGCCCAGGGATGCCGAACAGGACACGTCTGGAAGCAGCCCTGTCCCTTCCCCTTGCTTCTCTCTTTCCCCTCTGCTGCCTAAAGCCTTGCCAGGTCAGGCTGGGCCCGGTGTCCCGCCGGGAGCGTGTGGGGCTGCACAG